CTGAGTATCCTTTATCGGGGATATTTATTTAAACATAGATGAACAAAGATCGGCTATAATAATATCCATCATCGTGAGCTTCATACCCATGCACAACGTTTTATGCAACAAGTGGATCGTAGCCCGGCCATACCCCTGGTCGAACGCCTGGTCTAACGGGCAGGGAGCACAGATCTGGTCGTTCTCAAATTGCCCCGGGTGCGTGGTGCCCAACGTTCCTCCGTAGCTCGTCGATCAGCGTCTTTCCTCATCAAAGTCCCCTTCCAAGGATGACGGTCCCCTCTGGTCCGTCTGGTCCTCTCTAGCTGCCAATCTAACGGAAAGGTCCGTGGAATTGTGAGGAGGGGGAGGGGGAGGGGAAAACGATGAAATAAGATACTCGTTGGGCAGGGGTTTGACAAACATCATTTCCTTGGGTAGGGAGGCCAAAGACACGTCTCAAGACGACGACGTCGAGTCGAAGTGAGGTGACACCGGTCAGTGTCGCATTGCGACGTGCTCGGTCGGTGTTCAACTTGTTTGCTTCACCAATGTCGCTGTCGTCGTCGTATCCTCCGTGCCATGAGTCTGTTGCTTTGGCCGCATGTTCCTGAGACTTGGCGCGGTGTCAATCGCAGTGACAGTTGCATAGACGCAGCGACGATAGTGTACGCACCCGCGTGCGCACCGCAGTGCGCCTGCGGCAAGGCGGCAAACCATCTCAAGCAACCAAACGTCCTGATAGTCTTTCGACTCTGTAGAGGCAGGAATCTCACATACGGTTGATGGTAACGGAGGCAATCAGGGGCGGGGGGGGGGGGGCCTTGGCTACTGTTCGAGACGGCGCATACGCCTACATGTTCCAGACGTTTTCCATACTATGGGCCCAAGCAATAGTATCGATCATTTTTTTCTCGGCAGGTTGCGGCGGATTGCAGTGTGTCATTCGGTTTGGGCATCTCCACTGATTGTCTCATTGCGACAAGCTGATGGTTTAGAACGAACGGGAAGAGGGCCTCTTTGCCCCATGAGCTCCGTTCGTTGGCATGGTCACCGGTGAGCTTTCCCAAAGCATCACAAGTTCCCTAGGTTCCAGAGTCCCAGAGTCCCAGTACGGATACGTAGGCGAGGGAAGACTGAAGAGAGGTGGGCAAAGAAAAGCTCAATTGTCAGTTCCGGCTCCCCGTGTTCGGGTCGAGCTTGATCGAGAGCTTCGAGGCACGCTGAACAGGGCGCCCTGTTCTGGTTGGCGACCCCTTGTTGCCTCGGCCGGTTGGCGATGTGCGCCATCATAAGCCCGTGGTCGACTTCTGACCCAAGTGTCTGGTAATTGGGTATTACGGCGGAGGAGAAATCAGCCGAGCGAGTCATCCTACATCGACAGACTTTTGTAAGTTAGTGGCTTCATCGGAGAGTTGCTGAACGTTGGACGGCGAGTTAATAGCAGCACTGCAACGTCACCTGCTGGCGCCATGCATCGTGCTATAGCAAATTATAAGTGCAAAAGTGCATACGTCAGGAGAGCTACCTTTTTTCCCCTCTCGATACCTTAATCAACGAAGGATTGGCAAAGTGCTCTCGGTTCTGCGTCAAAAAGACCCCCGAATGCCACGGAGGAAGGTCCTGAAGTTCATCACCGCGGAAGCAGGTACAGTGCTCATGTAGCTCCCTGCCTTTTCTGGGCTAGAGCCGGCAGGAAGGCAGGAAGCGCCCTCCACCTGCATTCTTTCCCTCTGCGCCCAGCGCGACATGTCATCATCCGACATCCAGTCTCTCTGAGGCAGGAGGCAGGCAGGTACGGATGCTCCCCTCCTGATTCCCTTTCCCGCAACCTTCCCGCCGTGTTTCATCATTTCTCCTGGGTCACCAAAGTCAACACCAGGCTGCTGGGAATCTGGGCTCGCCCATTCGCACATCAATGTCGAGCGCCAGCCTACCAGGTGGGCTGCCTCCACGTTTTTTGCTCCCCTGTGCCTGGTATTTCTTGTTCCTGACTTATGGACGTGCCCACACTGACGCGCTTCTGGCTACAGGATCAGGTTCGCACCGACAATCCCAACCCCGCCGACGTCGCCTCTATTGTCTATCGGAGAAGAGGTCCAAGAGAAGGAGGAGATGGTCAATTGCTGGCTACCTACGCAGTATGGTTTCGGCTGATGTCACGGCGTCTCTGAAGATCGGATATGAGTATATGTCCCTGGAGTAGCTTGTTCGCAAGATGACATAATAGGCAGTTTGACGAGACCCAGACCCCCTTCGGCGGCATCACTGATACTCCATCCTCATTTTCACCACGAGCAAATCAAGAAACAGTTCCAGGCAAGCAGGAAGGCTCTTCAGGCCCGTTCCGCAGGCCCCGAGCTAAGGTAGCACGGGGGGGGGGGGCAGGCAAACGAGCCGGCGACGAACAAGGGCACATGGCGGATGCCCATAAAGCATGTTGGTACGAACAGTACTCCGTAACACACCATATGGATACTCGATACTCCGCACCGCTGGCTTGAGTTGAGGCTTGAGGACGTTTGGATTTTACTCTGCTTCTGTACTAGTAGCGTGTGGATTAAGTCATATGATTGTGTCGGCCAATTCAGAGGCTTATTAACTCAGCGTCTAGGGCTCAACGGCGAGACATGAAACGACGAGAAACACCTGCACAATTCCCAGCATGCAGGGTGGGTGTTTGCATTTCCCAATCCCACCCGAGGTGGTGATGAGATTTGCAGATTTGAGAATGGAACTCGTACGCATTGCCACACCTACCCGTATTCTACGAGCTACCGCGCTTCATCGACGGTTTATTTCACGGCTACCGCGATAGGCCCGTCGCTACCTAAGGCTCATCTTTGAGTTACTTGGCCGGATCATCAGCTCTCCCCACCATTCGGATGCTTCCATTCGCCTTCTCTGCCCCTGGCATTGCCAACTAGTAGTATTCAATGATGCCGACGGCGTTGATGCGGCAGTAATCCACCGATGCAAGGCGGGCCAGGTACCACGTACCTCCCACACAGCCAAATGGGAAAGATGTGCTCCGGTACCTGAACATCGCGACGCTGGGATGCTTGACAGCGTAGTTGGACACACGGGCCTGGCATAAATGGCCCTAGCCGGCGTTTGCCTGCTGTTTCGGGGGCTTGTGCGAGCAGCCAAGGTCGCGCCAGATCCATCGGAGGCGCTATGTATGCACAAAGCTGGCCGTCTTCTATTTTGTGTTCTGAAAAAGCGACATGGTGGTACGGATACCGCCCGCGGTGACACTCCAGGCGTGAGGCCCAACATGCCTGCCAGTCAGTCTCGGGCAGCCTTCGAGGTTAGCATTTGGGCCCTAACGTGGCGCCTCCCGGCCCCCCGGCTGGTCTACTGGTTGGCGTGGACAATTTCCCATCGTCCCCTTGCTTCTTACCTCTTTCGCACTCGTTCTGCCAGCCGGTGCCGCTTGCTGCACACCACACGATGAGCTGGCTGCTGCTGTCAAACTTGGAGACCCGAGGGAAAGGAATAGTGAGAGAGGAACGCGGCAGCTGTCCTATGACTACCTAGGTAGGCGGCAGGTACCTACCCATACGGTCGAAGCTGCTACACAAGCGCACACCGCTGACCTGGCTCGTAGACACCACAGTACAGCTGCGGGCTCGAACTCATCACGTCCTGCCAGGCCCCGGTTTTGGTTCATTCGCGTCGATGTCGCGTTGCCGAATGAAGCGCCTCAGTACAGATACGTACCGATGGAACCAAACGTTCACCTAGCTCACCGAGATACATCCTATGTATCCAGATAAGGTATGGAGGCGTGGGAGGTAAAGCACGAGGTGAGGTTGTGGAAGAGGACAAGGATACGTACCTGAGCTACCGGCTAGAAGTCAAGGTACGTACTGTGCCTGAGCTCACACCAAGGTGACCAAAAGTGACCAAACGGACGGACATGAGCTGCATCCACTTTCCACCTTCCCCGAGCTTGCGGCCCCTTTTTCTTTTTAATCTTTTTTCTCATTCAGAGGTGTGATGTGATGGTGATGCTTCAGTCCATCCACCACTACTAGAAACACCATTTTGAGCTCGGTTTCATGGCTTGAATTGACAATTAGCCAGATGGAGACGACGAAAAGACACACTGACAACACAGTGGTCCTTTGCCCCGACATCTTTAGGAACTTGGACCTGGACCCCTCCGATCACTCCCGCCACCAAGAGACCCTTTTTCCTAGCTTCCAGGGCTTCCAAGTGGCACTAGCATTGGTGATGAGCAACAAGCTCGCGGCAGCTCGCCAGGTTCCCCTTTTCTCCTGCTCCCCATGTTGTGCGAGAAGTGGAAACGAGGCTTTATGCGCTTGAACCACTTGTACCATCCAACAGCGGGCAACCTGACACGGATGACAGCCTTTTCCCTTTCGCAGACGCGGGATGCAGGCACGCAGGACAAGGCCACTTTCTTTTTCACCTTTGGGTCTCCAGTTTCTTCCACCCAGATCCGGCCGTTCAACGTCTTGAATTCAGGGTTGTCTCGATCAATGACCGTCTCAACCTCGACGAGGCTGGGGATCAGTCACTACCATTTTATCCGTACGCTATGATTCCCATCTTTGCTGTTGTGCCCGCATTGTTCCCCTCCTGGTGCCCTACGGCAGATTTCCAAGGTTTGCTCAATTCGCAGGGTCTCCCTCTCATACTCGTCATCCAAATGGACGACGAATGCACGGGTATCGACCCGGACTCTCTACGTGTCGCGACGAGACGACACACACACGCTCTCACACACACATAAATGTACACAGGTACACAAATACCAATCGTTTCCTGGAGCACATCATTCACCAGACGACGAAGACCCCGTCCCAGCCGGCCCCAGCCAATGTCGTCGAATAAGGCTGCAGGATTCCCATCGCGGAGCTCCATTCTTGGACCTGGTTCCCCGTCTTGCCCTGCTGGGCGTGGCACGCTACATGCGAGTACCGTCAGGAACGTTACGGTGTACACTACTTTGGCCTGAGGTACTCGTCTCTGTCCGCGGATAACGAACGTATGCGGTCGTGGACTCGCAGCAAGACACAAAACCCCAGGTACAAGATATACACCACTTTGGCCCAGTATTAGGCAAAAGCTGTTTGGTCCTGTGGTTGTTTTGCTGGCATATCAAAACACAACACATACACAACACGCACCTTGCATTACTGCGCAGCGCCGAGGTGCTCACCTCTTGTTCAAAGTTCCTCCTGCACGCGCCCCGCGCCACAGAAGTATTGCTCCAATCCAGAGTTTGTGTCTTGATCCGCTGTTGAGCCGGTTGAAGAGGAGTCAATTTCGTCTGGGGCATTATCCAACGGCGTGAACGGCTTGCTCCCCGTTTTCCTCCCCTGGTTGGCGGCACCGTGCTCCCTTCAACTGGCCGAGGTATTCTTTACGGATCATTCTGTCCGTATCGTTCCTTGGTGCCCTTCCGGGTACATTCCTGCTGGCTGATGCGGCTGGGATTCTTGAGTTTGGTACTGATGCTGATGGTGATGATGCTGACAGTATTGCTGCCGTGGGCTTGCATGTGCAGAGTTGCTTCGTGGGCACAGCCTGGTGTTATTTTCTGCTCTCCGTCTTTTCTCGCAGCGTTCGCAGCGTACGATACTACGGTGGTGGTCGTGGTACCTGGTGATGCCGCCACTCGCAGCAAGTCTGCAGCATATCCCATGTCTAGGGCTACCTGATGAACATGTATCCGTTGACAACTGCCTCGAAGCGGATACATACCAAGCTCTATCGGGCAATGACCTCTACGTTTCTGGGCCATCACTGCCGACCACCCCGGCCAGAGATACTCAGTCGGGGCTACGCAGTATGCCAGTTCATCAAGCATCGCCCGCTGCCCCATCAACTCACGTCCCATGAGTCTGGATTGGAGTGAAGATGGGTTGAAGGACTTGCGCGGTGTGCGACTGCGCATGCGCGGCGGCGTGACCCCCGTCGTCTTCCCGTTCGACGGTCTGTATGTCAAGTTGCATACCAAAACAAGAGACGGGTCGACTGGTGTGGGCACGATGGAAGAGGGGAAGAGAGGAACAGACATATTAGACAGGCCGTGAACCGTGACGGCGGGAGGCGAGACCAGCAGAAGTTTGATTTTCCAATAATTCAATTCCACCCCAGGGATCCAAGCACCAGGCGCAGACGAGACAACCGCCGGAGAGAAAGGAACGAGGAAGAAGAAAGTCTACACAGCGGCCACTCGCAAGTTGCAACCAAACGTCCGAACATAATCAAACCAAAAGTCGACCCTGCAGCCGACAGCATCATCCTCTTTTTTTTTTTTCTTGCTCTTCTCGATTCAGGTACGGATACCTGTCCGTCTCTGAGGTGGTTCTCGATCTCTGGACTCTGGCTGGTACAGTTTTGTCTCTCATCACCTTGTCTCTCCTGCCTGCTACCACTGGCACAGAGAGAGAGAGAGAAAAGATACCTAACGCTTCGTACCTATCCCTACAGGTCAAGTCAGGTCAGGTCAGGCCAGTCAGGTACCTCTCCCGCGCGCGCACATACACACACCACTTTCTCCGTGGACACACATACTCTCTCGCAGGGCAAGAAAAGAGAGACAGACACTGGCACAACTGGACACACACACACACGCGCGCACATTGGCACACAACTCGCACACAAACATTACAGCCTGACCCTGGTCGCTGCCCCCCCCCCCTACCTAGGCTTTTTTGGCCGCCCCAGGTCCCAGGAGACTCCCAGACCACCACCATCACACCCCCCCTTGCCTTTTGCCTTGGACACACCCTTCGAGCGCAAATTGGCCCGCCAGAGCCAAGGGCAAAAGGGCAGAAGGACTGAGAGGATAGGAAAAAAAAAAAGGCACGACTGCCCCCCCGAAAACCATTAGCGAAATTGGGCCCCTATCACCAGTACCCTCTCCTTCTACCTTTCACCCCCCCGGATTCATTCGTTCATGCTAAGAACGGGCCCCCGGCCATTTCTCGAGTCGACGGCATAGTGGCCGGCTCCTCGCTCCATTTTACCACTTACTCCCGGTCAGTTGAAATCAATTTCCCTTCCATCTGCACTGCATTTCGTACCGCACTTTGCACGCCTGGCCTGTGGACTAGGGGTACCTACCTATCTTATTACGGGAGTACCTCAGATCCCTACACAGAGCCACAGAGCCCAGAGGTTCCTTTCCTTTCCCAAGTTTCCCACCCCTCGTCCCCTCGCCCTCTCTCAAATCCTCGTCTTCGCCCATCCCGACGCGGGTCCACGGTGAATCACTCTGCTGGATCGTGTGTGGGTTTCTGCTCTCTCTCACGCCTCTCTCTCACACTCAGTCTCTACTAAGGTACCCGTACCGCGCAAGGTACCGTACCTTACTGGTGTCTGTCTACCTTACACGGTACCTTACCGTACCGAAAGGAGTACCTTTACACTCTCACTTTCCCTCACACACTCTCTTTCCTCCCCCGTCCCGTCCATCCACTCGACCCTCGTCACCCATTCATTCTTGCTCTCCCTTTCCACTTCCGCTCGGCTTCTTGCTCCCCTCCTCTCCCAAAGCTCCCTGACCCCTTCCTCTCTCATCTGTTTCTTCGTCCCTCTTTTTTTAACAACCCATATGCGTCGCAGTTCTCGTCCAGCTTTTGCTATCCAACAGGCAGAGCATCCGTCAACTGCCGTCCGGTCCGCGAATGCTGCATTGCATTTACAAGCAACCTGCTATTACTTGAACTGCACCTAAGCACTCACACCACACGCATTGTGCAGACGGGACAGCAAAGACTAGGTCGACATCCAACAACACCACTACCACGGCCACCCAAACACCTCGTGCGTCGATGCTCATCTCTCCCCTCGTCACCAGCTTCACAATTCAACGCGGCTTCCAAAAGAGACCAAACCAACAAAACCTGGTCGCCCAACCCCCCTTCCACCTTCCAAGGGTCGCTTCCTCATCATCGCAATCTCGACCCACGCACCCGAGAACATCGTCTCCTCTGGATATCCACGTCTGAGGATCCATCCCCGATCGACTGGTTCTAGCTCCATTCCCACCCCCTGGACCCTTCCCTGGCCCTTTTAATAATATCGACCACCTCCTGGCTTCGACCGTCCCTCGCTGTCTCCTCTTCTTCATCTGGTTTCGCTCTCTTGGTCCATCCCAGCTCAGTCATTCTCGCTTTTTTTCTATTTCCAAAATCAACCTGTTCCCCGACCCATTACTCGCGACATCATCCGCACAAAGCATTTCCTTACTACAACTTTCAACACTTCTTCAACCAAACACACACTACCACTACCACCACCAACCTTGATCACTACCACTACTACCACCACCACCACCACCACCGCATCACCACCAACAAACACTACCACACTGGGAAGAGCTACCGTTCTGAATGCCACAGGTTTCGCAAGCGGCTCTTACACAGAGCTCCTCCTAGTTAGGCACAGCATTGGTACGGTCCAGGCTAATACGCCTGAGAAAGCGGCCTTGGCCAGCTGACCCGCCCCAGAAACACCGTCGTCACGAGGATCTTGACTGGAATCAACGATCACATCCACACAACAAAACTCACACAAAATGACGGTCGCACACGAACTGGCCCACAGAGGCTCATCATCGCACTCTGCCAACAACATGGCTCTCGAAGACCGATTCGAGGTCCTCAAGGAAATCGGTGACGGTAGCTTTGGCAGTGTCGTTCTCGCCCGGGTCCGTAGCGCAGGTGCTAGCGTGGCTCGTCGCGGTACGGTGGTAAGTTCCTGCATATCAATCCCGTTACACCACATCAAGTCACTAAAACATCGTTTAGGTTGCCATCAAGACCATGAAGAAGACTTTTGAGTCATTTACGCCATGCTTGGAGCTTCGTGAGGTCGTCTTCTTGAAGACGTTGCCCAACCATGCCCACCTCGTCCCCGCCCTGGACATCTTCCTCGACCCGTACACTAAGAAGCTGCACATCGCCATGGAGTACATGGAGGGTAACCTGTATCAATTGATGAAGGCTCGGGATCACAAATGCCTCGACAACGCCAGTGTCAAGAGCATCCTTTTCCAGATCATGCAGGGCCTCGAGCACATTCACGCACATCACTTTTTCCACCGCGACATCAAGCCCGAGAACATTCTTGTCTCCACCTCATCCCACCAAGACACCGTCACGTCTTTCCGCAGATATTCGGCTCTCGTCACTCCCCCATCCACGCCTCCCAATTACACCGTCAAGATTGCCGACTTTGGACTTGCACGCGAAACCCACTCAAAGCTTCCCTACACGACCTACGTTTCAACGAGATGGTACCGAGCACCCGAAGTTCTCCTGCGTGCTGGCGAATACTCCGCTCCCGTCGATATCTGGGCTGTCGGCGCCATGGCAGTTGAAATTGCAACACTCAAGCCACTCTTCCCCGGTGGAAACGAGGTCGACCAAGTTTGGAGGGTATGTGAGATCATGGGAAGCCCCGGAAACTGGTACAACAAGTCTGGTGCCCGTGTCGGTGGCGGCGAATGGAAGGACGGTACCAGGTTAGCCGGCAAGCTGGGCTTCTCATTCCCCAAGATGGCTCCTCATGCCATGGATACGATTTTGCAGCAACCTCAGTGGCCCGCTTCGCTGAGCCACTTCGTTACGTGGTGCCTGATGTGGGACCCCAAGACCCGCCCGACCTCAACACAGGCAATTGCTCACGAGTACTTTGTCGATGCCGTTGATCCCCTGAGGCCGAAGTCCTCTGCATCGAGAATCTTGGGCCGCAAGCAGTCCGATCTTGGCCGCGGCAACAATTCTAACTCATCTACCCCTACCTCCACCAAGCCGTCGTGGTTCAGGAAGTCCCTTATTGGTCGCTCCGAAAGCGCCGAAGTTGCCGTTCCTCAACCAATTTCCAAGGAATCAACCCCGAGACCGTCTCCCGTCCCCTCGCAGACGACGAACGAAGTCCCCGTCGCGAAGACGCGCCCTGCTCAGTCAAAGCGCACGACATGGACGAATGGCCCATCCAACGTCGCACCTATGCCGATACTCCCCTCGATTCGCCCCATCTCGCCCATTTCCGATGCGGTGACTGCCGAGGCGAGAAACGGTGTGACTTACAACGATTCGTACGCCAACGGTCGCCAGCGCACTGTTCAGATTGATGAGAAGAAGAAGATTGGCAGACAATTATCGGTCGCCTCAAGCACTAACAACTATGCCGAGATTCACCGCCAGCAGGCCGAGCGAGCCCTCAACGGCAACAGTGGCCTTGCGTCACCGCCCGGTGGTCATAAGGAAAGCTTCTTCTCCCACCTCCGTAAGCGTGCCCGTCGTTTCTCTGGTAGGCATCAGGCCCCCATGTCACCCAACTCGGACGATGTCGAGGCTCAGGCCGGCTGCGGCCCCTGGAACAGCAACCGGTCCTCGATGGTGATTGATAACAACGCGCCTACTCCCCCGCCGAAGCCTACGGAACTTTACGAGCCTCTTGATAAGGCGTTGAGAGATGTCCAGCAGAACCACGACAACGCTCCCGTCCCACCGGCACACCTCATTACTCCCAGCAGCACTCTGAAGAGACATCACTCTCTGCCGCAGCACCACCCGCGCTCTGTTGACAACCTGATGGGAGCCGCCAAGGGAACCGGACCGATTTCGAGCCGAACCCGTCGTGCCCACGCCCATGGTGTTCAGCACTACGACGCGCCCGATGAAGAGGATGAGCTACTCGATGAGGTTTTGAATTCGACCCACCGAGCCATGAAGCGCCTTGAAAAGGACGGAAAGCCTGGACTGCGGCAGTCTGCCAGCAACATTGGCATTTCGAACCCGTACCCGACTCCCTCCCCTTCGGCCAATGGCAACAACTCTGTGTTGTTCGGCGACAACCACGAAGCCGTCGCACCCAAGCCTTTGGATCTGAAGAAGTCGCATGGCGCTGAAAGTCAATACAAGTGGCCTACTCCCCCGTACGAGGAGAGTGAATGGGCTGCATCGGCGTCAGCCAGCATTTGGGCGGCTAGCAATCGGTTTTGAGGCGGTTCTGCCTCTGAAAGAGATTTTCTTACAGAGCTGAGCAGATACCATCGCAAAAGTTCTTTGTGTAATCACTTGCATGGGATGGGTGTTTGGCGTTTGCCGGTGTACCGTTCCCGTCCTCCAGGTTGGAGGCGGGTTCGACTCCGGATCTCGATTTTCTTTTGCCCAAGATGTTTTGGAGCAGGGTGGCATTTCGACTATTCCACAATATCTTCGATACCATAGGGCGGCATCTTTTACGCCATCGCGCAAATTTCTATTTTTTTTCTGTTTTTTTTCTTTCCTCATCGACTCATCTGTTTCGAAATACCCGACACTATAGACTGGATGGGCTGCCATCGGCGCCCTATACCAAAGATAACATTTCTTTTGTTTCTGGGGCTCACACGGGCGAGGAGCGGCAGTCTCCCAATCGGAAGAAAATGGACACGGTCCAATAGGGACTGGGGACAAGATAAGGGAGGGTCAAACATGGTCACACATTTCTGTACAAGGAAGGACAAGGGCACAATATCTTCTTAGATTCTCTGCGGGCTGGACACGTCAGACGACTTTGAGGAAAGCCAAATCTGGCCAAAGGATGCCCAACGGATAGTTTGTCATATATGGACCGCAGAAAACACAAATGGTATACATATGGGCAACCCTGTCAACGCTACTCAAGGGCTGAGTCTCGCGATTGTTTACTCGATCGCGCGGAAACTATCATTTTTGTATTTGGAATTTTTGAGGATGAGGCGGAACAAAAAGGACATATAGTCAAGAGAGGTGGTGGAGTGGCAACTGTACGTAGGCGGACGAATTTTTCTTGGAAGTCATGCCATAACCATACTACATAATATCAAGATGACATCCAAGCGATGTACATCGATTACGAATCACGCTAATAAGATCTTTCTCCGTGTGACATTGTGAGAACAAGACATGTACGTCTGTACAGTATGATGGCTGTCTCTATGTGTGAGTGTAGGCTTGGGAGCATGTGAATGAAGGTGGAGTTTCGAATTGACTCTGGGCTTAACCATCAGACGGTTTAGACGCGCGGGTGTGGCGTGGGTTTGGCGCCCCTTTTTTCCGCGGCCGGTGAGCCGGCCCGGTACGGACGCGCCAAAGGTTGGAAGCAAAGAGGCGAAGCTCCTCCCGTCGGGTCAGGTCACTTCTTAGTCTAGGTATGGAATGCTGGGGCTGCGAGCTGCGGGCTGTGGCGAGCTGAACGAGAGCAAGACAGGGTGGGGCGTGTTGGGTCGCACACTGCGCAGTCAGGAACGGAAAGGAGTCCCCTGGGTGAGTTTGTCGGCGGCCGGCGGGATCTGCTGCTGCTACTGCGGCTCCTGGTCTATTTTGCTGCGGCCTGGTTTTGGGGGCTGGAGGATGAGCTGGTGCATAAGGGCAATGGGAGTTGGGATAGGAGGTAGAGCAAGGAATGGGTAGAGCGTGCCAGGGCGTTCGAGGCTGTGTTTTGATGGGTCCTCAGTGTACACCGTTTAGAACATGGAGGCGGGCAGTTTTGTGATTTGCGTTTTCTAATGTTGAGGTGATTGGGGTTTTTATCCGATGCCTCGCCCTGGTGCCATCCGTCTTAGGTTTTGCAGAAGCGAGGCGGATGGATGGTATGTCTTGTCTCTCTACCGTCTTGGGTGGAGAAGGAAAGGACTGGTCTCTTCCAAGAGTTTAAACGAGGCCAGTCTTCTCAAGCTGCTTAGAGTGCTTCCGCACCGGTTCTAGGTGACTGGCAGATATATACTGAGAGAGGCGTCTCGTGGCAATATCTGGGCGCTTCTCAGTAGTGCGGATATGTACTAGATCCGGTACAGATCAAGGGCGCTCATGAGGTACAAGAAGCCCCAGTAGAAATGACCATGTCAGACTACATAAGTCTGTAAGCACCTGAGAAAGACAGTCGAACAATCAGACAAATGTTTTCAGAAGTTGGCTTTGCGGAATGCCCTCGTCCACCAGTCTATTTACCACCTGGTTTTGTGACGGGGCTTAGAAGCGCCTTTGATTATTAAGATTGCTTTTTCGCGGTCCTCGGCGCCGTCTCTTCGGCGTTCGTGCCCGAGGTCGAGGTCGGCAGCTCCACTATATAGACTCTCATATTGTGCTGCGAGTCTGCGTCTGACAGAGAGGAGTGCATCGAGGGCAGACCAGAAGACAACGAGGTACCTTCAGTGGACATGAGGACGTGCGATATATTGCGAAACCGCTCTTCGTCACCGCATACGTTTCCTCGTGAGAAAGCCGATCAACAGTTGCCTGAAAAGGCCGATCTTTTGGGATGACTGACGAAGCGCACTACGACGACCTCATCCCAACGTTGCGTGCCAAGGATGCGTATCGGGAATTTTCTCCCGGCCTCGGGTACCGACTCGGTCCGGGTCACATGATACTGACCGCCTCTTAAGACTGGACCTAAGGTATGGTGAGGAAAGAATTTGCTTACATCAGCAAAAGCCAAAGCACGGTACTTTCTCCAATTGCCCAGTGTCGCCCTGCGCCTCATCGGCGCAGAGCCAGTAGGGAGTGCTGGCGAACCAGCCCAAGGACACGCTTTCAGCCCTTTTTACTGCGCACCGGGCAGCTAAGGACGTTGGTGGGGCAGTGTTTGCCTGCTTCCTTCCTCTCTGTCTCTGTCCTTCGGGCTCGCCCTATCCTTCCCCCCGCCCCTCGACGTTAGGCTGGTGCTTGAACCTCAGCTACGGAACCTTGTCAACCAGCACTCGACCAGCCAGCGCTGTCTACTGCTTCATCTCATTCCATCCTTCATCAAAGGAAACCAGGAACTCGATTAGGCAGCAGAATACCCGACGGGAGGCTTGAGATCTACTCACGCAGGGCCCCCTTTCAGTTTTCTTCAAACGTGGCCCAGGTGGACTTTTCTCGTATCGACCAAGAATCCAAAACTTTTGTCGCTTCTGCTCCGTCGTCATTACTGGCGGGGTGTCATCCTCTGCTCCTAGAGCTACTGGACCTCGCCAACTCCCGACGCGCTGCACTGGGCTGTCCAGACTCCAGACCTTCGCTGTCACCTCCCTCCTTTTTTCCAACCAGCGCGCACCCGCCCACTTCAGGACTGAACCCCTCCTCCACCATTCCACAACCCCCACGATCATGTTCCTGTAACCTCGCTTTGCTGCCCTGAAGAGACGATCAACGCCTGACTCTCGTCTTTTGCGCACGATTCCCGACGACTTTACCATTGCTCTCGTTGATCGACTTTTCTGCTGGTCCGTCTCTCCCCCTGTCGTAGGTCGCCAGCGAGGGCTTGTCCCGTTCGCTTTGTTTCCTTTGCCATCGGGACTGCGTCCGCATAGTATGGGTATGAGCGCATATCCCAGCCGGATATTGCCACCATGAGCTTCAACCTCCCTCTTCGCCCGAGCTCCAGCAGCATACGGAACCAGGCAAGCCGAAGCACCTACTTTAACAACTACACGCCTAGTTCCTCTACCGAAGCCATCAACGGTCCCCTCAGGGAACCTGCCAGGGAGCTCTTTGGCACCACCGATCGGCTGATTGTCGGCGTAGATTTCGGAACTACATTCTCAGGGTGAGTCGCATCCATCCCTATGCAGCCTCACTTTACTTTTCGAGCATCTCAAGTGTGACCCTTGGCCTGCCTGAGCCAACGCCAACTGTTGCACTCGTTCTTGAACCCCTCACTCTTTTGATGCTCCATGCGCACCTGTCAAAGCATTGACGGTGTTGCCCGAGCCCTGTCCACATGGGATGACATGCTGACACTCACCGTAGCGTCGCTGCTGTTTACACTTCAACGCCAGACGATGTCGAAATCATCAAGACATGGCCGGGCGGGAACGGCATCACCTCCGACAAGGTGCCTACCGAGATCAGCTATGACATTTCTGCGAATGCTGCCGCTGGCACCGATCCCACAGTGAAATGGGGATTCCAATTCAAGCCCGAGGAGGCACGTCTTCGTTGCATCAAGCTGTTCCTTGATCGCTCGCAAAAGCTACCCTTCTATGTCAGCCCGCTCGACACAGCGGCCCAACTGAAGCGCTACAACAAGAATGTTCTGGACGCTGTAAGCGACTATCTCACACAGGTGTATAAGCACACCATGGACACCCTCACTCGAAGATACGGCGAGTCTTTTATGCAGTCTACCAAAGTCGACTTTGTCTTGACCTGTCCCGCCGTGTGGTCTGATGCAGCGAAGAATACGACACTTCAGGCGGCTGAACGAGCTGGTATGGGGCTGAAATCAGAAATCCAGATGATCAGCGAGCCCGAAGCCGCGGCGGTGTACACATTAAAAGCCATCCAGCCCAACCATCTCAACGCTGGTGATAACTTTATCGTGTGTGATGCAGGCGGTGGAACTGTTGAGTAAGTTCAAGACGTAATCAGCGGTCGATCTCGGGAGCACGGCTAATGGTCGATCTAGTCTGATTGCGTACAAAATCATATCATTAAAACCGTTAAAGGTAGAAGAATCCGCCGTCGGTACCGGTGGTCTTTGCGGCAGCGCGTTCCTCAACTACAGATTTGAAGAACATGTCCGGAACAAACTGGGCCACAGCCGTTTCGACGAGATGAAGGTCAAGAAGAACAAAACATGGCAAATGGGTCTGAGGTATTTCGAGGAGTTTGTTAAACGCAACTTCAACGAGGATGAGCACCAGGAGGTGAACGTGCCGTAGGTCTATTCCTTGAAAGCTGAAAGTCAAGACATTGCGAGGAAATCTTCTAACTCGGTACAGATTCCCAGGCTTGCCTGACGACGAAGAGGCTGGTTTGGACTGTGGCTTCATGGTCATGTCGGCTGATGAAATCAAAGAAATATTTGCCCCTGTCGTGAAAGAAGTTTGCGACCTAGTCCAGGGCCAGGTCACTGGCATTCGTTCCAAGGGTGGTGTTGTGTCAGGCATCGTGCTGGTTGGTGGATTCGGGCAGAGCGACTACCTATACCGAAAGCTCAAGACACACTTCACAAGTGCCGCACCGCCTCCGTACACCGAAAGGCCAACGCATGGCAGCGTCACTGCACTACAGGAAACGAGCTCAATCGAGGTCATGCAGCCAGTGTACGCCTGGACGGCCGTCGTGCGAGGAGCGGTGCTGCGAGGACTCGAGGGCAACATGGTGATTTCGCGCAAGGCGCGGTACCACTACGGCACATCGTACGCAACCGTGTATGACGAGGAGAAACACTCGGTCAGTGAGCGATACTGGTCGCCGCTGTGGGAACGGTGGATGGTGTCGGACCGTATGCAGTGGCACATTGCAAAGGTGAGTTTGAACTGCCGTCCTTTACTTGGCTTCAGGAGACGAATACTGACGCGATCCTTTTCAAACAGGGAGAAGCAATATCCCCGTTATCACCAATCGCATTCCATTATACCCGAAACTTCAGACCTGGGCAGTCGCTGCTGGTGACGGACGACCTGATTGCGTGCGAGGCAGACGAGCCGCCTGCCGCCTACACCCGTGATCTAATCCATGTGTGCACGTTGACGACCGACCTCAATGCCGTGCCCAGGAGCCTATTCACACGATTGACGACAACGCGTGGCGTGGAGTTCGACAACCTTGACTTTACACTCGAAATGATCGTCGACAGCGCCGGTCTAGGATTTGAGCTGAAGGTGGACGGTGTTAGGTACGGACGTGTCGATGCCGAGTTCCATTGAGCAATGGACGAACCATGGAGAGGTATCCGTGGACGGCGACGAAAGGACGGAGCGTGAACAGAGGGAAACCCAGGCAAAAGGCAGAGGCGAGGGTTCTCAAATAGGAATCTTGGGCCATAAAGTGAGTACGGGAGGGCAACCCATGCTTGTGGTCCTCCTCGGTATCTCGTCATATATACACACATAGTTCACGAGGATCCAGTCCCGAGAACACAACTCACTTTTTGTATCCCGCCAAGCAAGACAATACTTGTGCCACAGGGTTGACGCGTCTGATGAGTGCATAATGAGGCAGGGTGTCTGTCAAGGTGTGGGTGACAAACGTTCCCGATTGGGGGTTGGATTTATAACAAAATTGCGACGTTGATACAACTCGGTCTGGAGCGAGGCGATGTTCAAGTGAGGCGTACCGCGCGGTTCGCCCCGCATATTCAGGTGGGAGTTCCAACTCAACGGTTGTCTCGAACACCAAGCACTTTCAACTTTCTTCTTTTACATGTCGAAGACTACATTTCCGGCCCATCCATCCGATACAACACGAGAATATGTGACCCTGCCAAGCGAGATCCCTCACTGACTACGTCTGCTTCTTTTACGAACGAACGTACGAACGAAAATGACGGGGACGCCGGCACATCCCTCGTCCCAAAATCAGTCGCCGTACGAGCCGAAGTGAGGCTGTGCAACGGTGTGTCTAAGTGGTTCAAAAAAACACGTCTCCGAGACTTTTCCAATTCCCTACCTATGGTACCTTGGGTTGTTTTTTTTGCCACGCCACACAGCCCTGCTTTCAAAAGTGACTGATGGCGAAAACGACGAATGCCTTGGAAATTTCGTTTGACGCAAAGAAGGTTGGTTCACGCAGCTCGCTATTGGCTCAACGGCGTCGAATTGGGTAAAAATTGTGAGGCGGAGGGCTGGCTGGAGTGGTTGCCTCGTGTCCTCGGCGATTTTTTGGATTCCTGATATAAGACGGGATGTGGGAGGCCCGCTAAATTACAGAACTGGAAGGTTTAGACCATTCATTCTCTCATCACCCATACAAATCATGGAAATGGGCAGAGATTTCATTCATTCTGAATCTGAAAGCGACGGCGAGCAATGTAAGCCAAGTGCAGATTATGTAACATCTCGTACCTAATTTCGTTCTGTAGTTCATCCGCTCTTACTGCCGCCGCTCCATGTTGCTGACTGCCTCGGAGTGGGGGAGCGTTCTGTTCCTTCCCTATTCGAAACGAAAAGCATGAAACGAAACCTAAAAGAGCAGCCCCTGCAGTCAAGTTGGGTGAGAAGTAGGAGCGTCCTCGACGATGACCTATCAGTCTTACGGGACGTAGCTGCCTGAAGCAAGAGTCATAATACACATCTCCTTCTCACGTCCGCTTGACAACTTACGATCGGATAACCTCTTCCTTTGCACAGCTGCAAAAGCATCGTAAGGCCATGCAAGACCAGAAAGAAGCCAATCTCGGCAGAAACCCACAAACAATCCTCAAGGGAACAGCCAACGTCGAGCCACCAGAGGCCCGCGAGACACTAAAAGAGGGGACGATACTCCCAGGACACCGAAAGACACTGACCCTATCCGCCTTGGTCTGCCACCCACTTGGGCCGCCATCTTGTTCACCAGCTCGAGCCGGTGACCAGGTGACCTTAGAGTCTGCCTCGCACCCGCAACTGGCCCTCAGCCTCGCACATGTCCTCGGACTCGCGTGTACAAGACTGAAGGGGTGCCCTCGGGGTAGTA